TTTGTTTTATTTTTTTTTTCTCCCCCTTTTCTATTTTTTTTTGAAAGAAAAAAACACTCCATTATAACCTGGAAAACGGGTCCGGCGTCCCCCTTTGGGCAGTGATGAATTGTAAAAAAAAAAAAAAACAAGAAAAAAAAGACTTTGTCCCCTTCTCTGTGGACGTAATGGCGGGCAGGTGCATCCAGGCCTGGTGGGAAAAGCGGTCATATACATTCAGGAAATTTGTCGTGTGAGTTCCCCTTAATTATGTGTTAATTATGTGTGCAACACATACTTGCGGCGCACAGATGAAGTGCGCTGTGAAGTGCGGTGTGCTGGTCGCAGATACACACACAGAAAAAAAAAAAAAGAAAAAAAAAAGAAAAAAAGAAAGAAGCAACCGTGATGTGTATACATGCACGCGCGCGTGCGAGAGAGAGAGAGAGAGAGCGAGAGAGAGAGAGAGAGCCCTTTCAAATTATTCAGACAACCCGTGCGGGTACTTCAAAAGGTTCCGGCCCAAAATTGGCATGGGTCTTATCGGCAGGAGAAGGGTAGTCGCTGAACTTGTAGTAAGGAGGGAGCAGACAGGCCAGGTACATAAGGTGTAGCTGCTTCGAATTCAGGTCCGTGTTTGAATTCAGTTATGGGTTACTGACTCACTAACTCGGCATGTGATTTTCAGGGCCGCTTCACTCCACTCCTCACCATCAAATGTGCAAAACTAGAATGAATCTTCTCCTACAAACTGGAACCATACAAGTCATATGTTTTTCTTCTGTGCAAGTGCTGATGAGTGAAGCCAGTCCCTTAGGGCCACTGCACGTAAGAAACGGAAAAACAAAAAAATGAGACAGCTAAACTGTAGTGTTTGGCGTAAGTTTGTTTGTAACCCATAACTCTTGGAACACAGACCTGAATCCGAATCCGAATCCGAATCCAAATCCGAATCCAGAATATATATTGCTGGCCTGCTCATGGTGTCATCGAGGTCTGCTCGGGTCTGCTCGAGGTCTGCCAGCGGTTCAATGAACATCCTTCCAAAAGGCTTTAGCAATAAAACCCTGCTGATTCTTTTTTTTTTTTTTTTTTTTTTTTTTGGTGGGAAAAAGCAGGCCCATGGGACAGCTTGAGGTGCTGGTAGGAGCAGTCGCCTCAAACTCTCCCTGGGTGGCTCCATCTATTGGTGGGGAGCAGCATTGCAAGGGACCTTTTGGAAAAGAGAATAGATCGAACGAGGGGCCTTTCGGAAAAGAGAAAAGATCCAC